CCCCAAAACCCCAAAACCCCAAAACCCCAAAACCCCAAAGAGTGAATCCCGTATTGAATTATAATGAAATCACACCTCCTCTAGCTAATCTATCACAGACGATTGTGAGATGTTTCTTCAGCTTTGCAGTGTCAGTCAGCCTCTTAATACTTGCATTACTGGCATTGGATTCCTTTGAGGATTTTGCAAGGCAGGTCTTCAACAAGTGTGTCATTGCAGCATAAGTATGTTCTTCCCAACCTCACTCATCAAAATCATGGATATCTGCTGACAAGTGGTCTTGCAATAACTTGTAACTTTCCCTGGAGATGTCAAATTTGTACTTCAGAAGGATTTGAATAATCTTGACTCTGGATGACAAGTTATGAGCAGCATTCTTTAAGTCCTTCTGGTATTCAATAATTTCATTAGCAATGTTCATCATATCCTGGTAAGTTTGGTTCAGCAAAAAGTCTAGGTTATTCAAAGGAGTTGGGTTATTTATCTTTGAACCTATTGATCAACCTCTTTTCTACAATTCTGAACTGGTAAGATCTATCTTCGAGCTTCTTTTTACTCTTAAAGATCTTCTCTCTAAGCTCGAAGTGGTCATCAATCGCAGTAAATAGTTCATGTAATGGGATACTATCCTGTAAGTCAACTTTCACATCATTTGAGTACAGAATATTGATTCTTTTGATTAGTTCATGGATTATGTAGCCAAGAGCATCGAATGAAGCACTTTGGACCCTAAATTTTCCTGCATTTTTAGATATTAGAATTGTCACAATGGTGTTGTTGTGATACATGAAGGACATAACATTGGGTGTAGTGCATATAGAATGTGCTCCAAGATCCTCGATCACATCTTCAAAGAAACTATTGATCTGAGCAGCATCCTTGTCTGTGATGATGGTGATCTTATTAGGATCCTTCAGGTTGCTAGGGATAATAATCCTGCAGTTGAAAGTCATTGGAAGTTCAAATATCTTGCATGCAGTCCTCAGATCGACCCCACTAGTGCTCCTAGGTGACATGTAAGAAGCAGATACAACTACTTCATTAGATACAGGATTGAAATCATTTCTAGCATAGATATAGAAAGACTCTTTAAAATCTCTTTGGCCGCCAAAATTAAGAATTTTGTATGAAAATACAGTCTTATCTGCCTCACAGTGATCTGGAACGTTAACGTTTACCATTAGGTTTTTCACTTCGTCTCCATCGTAATTTAGGATGATAGAGCATTTAATTCTGACTGGTCTTCCACTGTCTCCTTTTGCATAGATGTTATCCGGGTCATCAATATATTCATCTGCCTCCTCAACTTTGGATAGTTCATAATCAAGAGATAATGCATAATCGGGTTCTGTCTTTTCATCCTGTTCACTAGCCAGAATCCTTCCTAAAAGCCTTTGGTGTTCTGCTTCCATTTCTTCGTACTTCATTTCCTTGCTTTCAGGTAAAATGTAGTTCAACTTTGGAGGTTCAGTTCCTAAGTACGAGATTTGGAGCCATCCGTTGTCTGCGAAATGGACTATCAGACCTTCGGTGCCTCCAAATTCAGAGATGTCAACGAATATGGGAGCGTGAGAAGTCTTGCAGGTCCAGACCAGCTGGACGTCTCTGTACACAAGTATATAATTCGAAAAACTCCCTAACAAAAATGTAAAGCAAGGTGAGTTGGCTCCTCCCTCTGCAATCTGGTCAACATCTCTGTTCTCATCTCTGTAGATCTCGCTGGCACTGTTCAAGTGGTAGGTCTTGATGCACGAAGGCGGATAGTCCAGTCTCCGCTGGTATCGGATCTTGCCAGCGCCTTCAGTCAGAATGTACAGAGTCTGGGTTCCAACCACAATAATGTCGTACTTGCGAGTGTTCTTGTTTTTGTGGTAGTGCATGTGGAACGCTTGCTCTCCGATGTTACACGTCCAGTCAGCTTTGATGGTTCGTTTGTCTCTGGCTTCAACCTGCATGTTCAGTGTGGAGTATCTGTAACACTCGATCTCAAGGTTTGTATTCGAAACGATGAATGAATCAGACTGTTTAGCATAGATCAAGGGTCCAGGCAGGTAGAAGTCGGGAAGAACAATTTCGATTTGTACAGTGTCTTTGTTGATAATAGTGAGCTGACCATCGACACTTTGGACACAGATGAGCTCATTTCTGGCTTTACCGAACATTCCTTGTGTAAAATTGAAAGAATTACGACTAAGTTCATGTCTATAAACAAGTGAAAGCTGAGTAGTATCCTCTACAGTCTCTACTGCATAAATTACAAGCATTCTCGAATGAAGTACTGCTAACAACATCTCTCCTGAATCTCCATAGATGCCTAATCCGACTTGCAAAATACCTTCTTCTAAATTTTTCTCTATTAACAGTTGCCATGATTTGTACTCTCCTTTCTGAGGTTCAAAGATTCTAAGATAGCCTTGGAAACTTCCGACTACAATCTTGTTGCCTCCTGCAGTTGCATTATTAACATTTCCAACACAGATATTGTTCGTATCGAATTCCTAAAAATGTTGTTTATACCTGAATGGATTAGCACAAACTAATTTAAGCTTGAAGATTGAGTGACGAAAGGATTCAATAAGGTTTCTTAAAGGATTCAAGGATGCTAAAAAGTACCTACCTCGTCCTCTCCGACCTTCTTTCCCCACCATTCTTTTATTTCAAAAATTGACATTTTTAATTCAATTATATCTCAAACACTTGGGGTTTTGGGGTTTTGGGGTTTTGGGGTTTTGGGGTTTTGGGG